TCAAATTTGCAAAAATGCCTGGGGCACTGGGCAGGACGAGGGCAGGAACAGGGCCTAGGAGGAGGCAATCTGTTTGCAGTGAGGAGCAAGGCAGTCTTTAGGGTTGTATTGGGCTGCTGACATGGGGCAGAAGAGCAGCTGGAGAGGATAAAAGAGATACTTTCCTATGCAAGCACATGGAGCTTCAGCATCAGATGCCAGAAAATCATGCCTATAATCATGCTTATAAAAATCAGGATAACCCGCAGAAATAATGCCCACTGAGTTTGTTACATAGAATTATCTTTCTTTTGCTTTTCTCCAGTGCAATTTTAAATAGCAAGGTAATATGAGTCAATTAATGCATGGAAGAGAATTACCTCATCAAATGACATAGTAACTGCTGCACACCCCAGCTCTGAACATCAGAAATTGCTGATTTAATTAATCATCAGCCACAAATCCTCAGCTCGGGTGGAACTTCCCTCACTCCACCTACATCTTAAAACCGAAAATCTTCCCAGTTGTACAGGGGCCTGAAATAAAACACCCCAGAAAGGAAAAAATGCCAAAGAAAAGCAAAACTACTTTTTTGCAAGTGCCAAAAAAAGAGACCAACAGTTACTTGTCTCTAAAACCAACCAGAAAAGAAGAACAGAAACATGTAGACTAAATAATAAGAACAAAACCTGAGCATCAACCTTGGCATGCAGCAAGTACACACACTCCAGCAGCAGAAGGGAAGAACAGGGCTGAAGAAATTAGCAGTTAATACCACTCAGAAAAGAAAGATTTGTGTGGTGTAACAGAACAGAGCAGCCAAGGGAAAGATGGTGGCTCTGTGTCAACCTTGTAATGGGCATCCAACCTTACCAGGAGAGTGCTGGTGCTTCCCATTGCTTTCTGATGTGAACGATCAGAAGAGAGTTTGCTTCGTATTTGGGTTCTTCTCTTCATAACCACAAGACATTAGCTTTAAAACAACAACAACAACAAGATAAAATCAAGATTCTCATAAAATCTATTGATTTCAGAAGCTGAAGGCACTAAGACAGATACCAAACACTGCAAGACAAAACCAGAAAATCTCGTGATTGCCATTTGTTAAGCTGGGATAGATAGAAGAAAGACTTCATCACATGTGGAATGAGGAGGGCTTAGGAGCCTGCCAAACAGTGGTAGAAAACAATGCCTTAACACTGCTTGCTAAGACCAGGAAGTCTAAAAGCAGTAGATAGTGGACTCTTCAGAGCCTGTTAATTATTCAATGCTGTTAAAGAAGATGTAGCCCCCGTGCTACATATCACCCTGCCATTTCCTGCCAGCCTTGCTGGGTTTGCACATTCTGACTGCACCCTGCAGAGTGGCTCCAGGTAAAGAGCTGAGTTGCAGCACAAGGAGAAAAACAGGGCTCTGTTTTTTTAACTTAACACTCCCCTTCTCATCTTCCTTTCTTCTTGTTATTCATCTGCAGAGACAGAGATTCTCCTTTGTTTGTGCTGTGAATTAACTAAAGGTCAATGGAAGTTCAGGCAACATAATTTTATATGTACAAATGGACACATCAACAAATGTTAAAAAAAAATCCTTCTTTAAAGGAAAATACCTGTAAGAACAGAGCATGACTGTTCTACAGACCCCATTCAGAGGATGTGAATGAGCAGGCAACAGGAAGAAGTCAGTTAAAATACACGCTATAAGTTCTTCCACAGTATCACACTGTAAAACCAGAGAGGGCACAGAGAAAACAAGCATCAACAGGACTTGCTTCAGCCTAAGGTTTGCTGCTAAAAACAAATCTTTGAGTCTGCTCTCTCACTTCTGAAGCACCGTGATTGATTGCCAGGTGTGACTGATTGCCAGGTGTGTGCATCTGGCCGCTCTCAGGACATCTCCAAACTCAAGGACAGGCTCAGGTTTCACAGTGTTTTAATTCACCCCTAAATACCCAGGTGCCTTCCAACCAGGCTGTGTGCCTCCAGTTGGCATGCTCCCTTCTGCCTTCTCCTATTCACATTCCTGACACTATCTCTGCCGTTTGCTTTTATCTCCTTCCCTCTCCCAAATCCTCTACCTTCCTCACTCGTAAGGTAGGGAGCCAGCTGCCAGCAGTCAGACATACTCTGCTTTTGCCCCTTTGCTGTGTATGAGTTCCCTCTGAAGCCGGACATCTCACCCCAAATCTGTTCCTGTTGGGATTTAACACACGCAGACCCTTGATCCTTTCATATGTATTTGCGAGGTCTTTGTGCCTTTCCTACCGCTTTCTTCCAGGCCTGCTGTATGTCTGCAGCTCTTATCGACTCCCCGGGACAGAATACACGAATGCACCACGAGGTTCTGAAGCCACGTCTCACACCTTATAGGAAATGGTTCACCCAACCAGGTCACACCTCCCTCCCAAACACAGGGAGTGAGTCACAGGGTGCTACCGGTGCCTGGATGTTGAAAGCTGAAAGGCAGCATTCCAATTCTCAAATAAAACCACATGTATACATAGATGTGATTAATAATAGCAAAGCATGATAGAATCATCCTTCAAAAAAGTCAGATCCCATTTATTTTAACCCCAAAAATGTGGTATGCAGCCACTGAGCAGGACTGGACCTTTACCTGGTGACCTGAAATCCTTACGGCACTGCACAGCTGTATGAACACATCCTACACAGGTCTGGTATCAGCGGGGTCTGACTGCTCTGGAACACGTTTAGAGCAGAGGATGATGTGTGAAGTCCCACAGTGACCAGAAGACCTCAGCTTTCAGAGCCACAGCTGAAGACCCATGACTGAGGTCTCAGTGGTCTCAGGAATACAGTTCTACACATCTGCAAACAGTCTCAGAGTGAGGACAAGGTGCAGCTCAATCCGTCGAGCTCTTCCTCTTTGCAGCCTGAGAGCTGGCAACACCAACACTGCCAAAGGACAGCTGTAAATGATCAACATGAGATCATGGTGAGATCAACTTAATGGCACAGATGTGTCTAAAAATGCATAGATGTTGGTAAGTATGCATTAGGAAAACCTGAAAAACCTCTAAAAGCTTTTGGAGGTTGTAAGGAGCTTTGTCAGAGGAGTTACATGGTAACTAGGAGCAATTAGAGAGAAACTAAGCATTCATTCTAAAGATTTCCTCTTAGGCAGAAAGGAAAAGCCATCAAAACCTGAGCCTGATTTACATTAATGGCTGTTGGTATCGGGGTCTGATGGGGAAGCTGGAAATTACATGACATTGTCATGCCAGAAGAAACTCTGGAGCAAACACACTTACACACCCATAAAAATGTCTCTGGTCTACAACTAATTTCCTTTTTTTTTTAAAAAAAAAAAAACAAAAAAAAAAAAACTAGTATCAGTTATACAGGCACTGCTGCTGCTTCTTCTTCAGAAGAATTTTAATTAAATTTTAGCTTTTACAGCAAAAATGTGTTTTCATTTTTTTCTTAACATTTCTCTAAGGAGATGAAACTGGGTGCATGACCATTGCTACTTCTTATGTCAGGCTTCTCTCATCATCTTCTGAACCTGCTGGCTACCTTCCATTAAAGATAACACATACATTGGGATCTCCAAGACATCAAGATTTGTGAAAACACTCAAGTAGATGAGAGACCTAAATTTGTGCTCTTAAAAAGTTCAACATTGCTTTTAGAAATGAGAACATTCCCATTAAGAACATCCCCCTCCCGTATCGTACACTTGGTAGAACAAAAAATGATCATACCAGAATGCCCTGCCTGCAGAATCCCAGCACAAAGCAAATGGAGTAAAAAGCAAGAGAGGTTCACACACAGGACATGTATCCTAGCGACTGACAAACCACTGCATGGCAATGCCTCATCCCCTCCAGGCAGGGCAGCAACACTGCTACAAGCACTAGGTATCCCAAGGAAAGCATTTAAGATATGACCAAATGCCATGCTGCTGCTTATATCTGCAGGCATTCCAGGACTCTACCCAAAACTCAGCTCCAACAATCAGTAAGGAGAGATGTCAGTGCACATGGTTAAAGATGACTCTGTGACCCACAGCAATTGGAGAGAGTCCAAGCAGCCTGGAAGTGGAGCAGGCCAGCAAATGCCTCTTTAAAGCTGCAGCATTTCAGAGCCCTCCTTACCGTGCTAGGTGCCTGCTGATGGCAGCAGTGACATGGCAGCATGCTCTCCACCTGCTTTTGTTGCTGCGTTCCATATTTAGAAATGGCTATCTCAATTTCAGATGTATTAATTCAAAAAAGCCATTCATTTCTGGACTGATGGTAGATTCTGCTTTTCAAGGCGAGAGGTAGGATCCTTCTTTGTGCCCAGCCAGGATAGAAGTAATGACAGGGTGCAGAACTAGAGAGGTAAAGAGTCTCAATATCCTCCTCAGGACTTTGAATTCCTAGCCAGCACAGCACGGGGCAGATGCAAGCACCACGTGATGCTCACCGGTACTGGGGTGAAGCTCTGTGGGAGCTGGTGGGAGGTTGCTGGCATTATGGGGAGAGATGGTGGGAGAAAGCCTACATTACTGAAAGTACCTGATCATCATGTGTGCGTGCGAAAGCACGAAGGTACAAACGCCTTATGAATAAAAGCTCTTCTCAGAGCTGATGCTCAGCACGCCGTCCCTTCGGAGGGAGCAGCATCTAACACAGTTCGCTGAGGACAACCTGTACATCTCACGTTCCGATGGTGGCCGTGCTGCAACCGGACATGGCTCCTCGCAGGCACAGGGGTGGGAAGGGTGGTGGCAAGGCTCGGCTCTGCCCGCTGCAAGCTGAACTCTGGGGCTCTCCAGGTGCATTCACCTGCAGCTCGCACAGCTGACAGCACGCACCTCGCTTGCAGGATGCAAACCCCACAGCAGCGCCGCCCAGACTCGGTACCACACACGACCCCGCGGCACCGAGGGAGCTGCGGTCCCGGCTCCGCGCCGGACCCCCCGGGCCGGGGCCGCCTCCCTTCGGCACCCCCGCCCCCGCCGGTCCCCTCCCGGCTATAAAGCCCTGCGGGCGTCCGGACCCCTCCTGGCCCGCCGCCATGGCCGCGCTGCGCTTCGGGCCGCCCCCGGCGGAGCTGCCCGCGGTGCCGCCCTCCTGTCCGCCGGGCCGGTGGCTGTGCGGGACGGTCGGGGGCAGCGGGGGAGGGCCCGGGGCGGCCCCGGCGCCCCTTGTGGCGCCGCCGCCGGCGGCGGAGGGAGCTCCATCAGCGCAACGTCGGAAACGGACGAGCTTCACGGCGGCGCAGCTGGAGACGCTGGAGCTGGTGTTCCAGGACACCATGTACCCCGACATCTACCTGCGAGAGCGGCTGGCCGACGCCACGCAGATCCCTGAGTCTCGCATCCAGGTGAGGGGCGGCGGGTGCCCGCCCTCCTCGCCGCCCGCCCTCGCCGCGTCCTCACGGCCGCCCTCTCTCCCCAGGTCTGGTTCCAGAACCGCCGCGCCAAGTCTCGCCGGCAGCGGGGGCCGCCCCGGCCGGGTCCCCCCGCCCCGCCGCCCCAGCGCCCGCCGTGCGGCGCGGCCCCAATGCTCCGCGCCCAGGAGGAGCGCCGAGAGTGGCCGCCTCGCGCCGCCGGCCCGCCCGGCCCAGTGCCGCGCCCGCACGCGGGGAGCGGAGGCGCCCCGGCCGGGCCCTACCCGCCCCGCCCCGCGTTCCCCCTCCCGGCCGGCGGCAGCTTCTCGGAGCCGGGAACGGAGTGGGAGGAGAACGCCCTCGGCGCCTTCCGAGCCCTCTGACGGCCGCCCGGCCCTGCCCTGCCCGCGCCTCTTGCACTTTATCCCGGAGGGACTGCGCCTATTTATGACCGGGAGATGGGGGCGGCTGCGCCGGTTGCCGGCACCGTGTTACATTGTTTACAGCTTCTATTTAACGCTTTTAAGCCATCAAGCCGACCGAATGCACTGTTCTAGGGAGGATGGGGGTGGGGAGGGGACTGCTGTTACTTTTTGAGAGAGAAAAATAAATAAAAGTTCCCATTTCTGCGCTGCGCTGCTATGGAGCCGAGAGTTGTTTTCGTGATGCAGAGAGGGACGGGCTGCTGACCTCGGAGGGGCCATAGCCCCTGAGAGCCACGGGTGCAGCGAGGGGAACTAGAGAGCACTAAACCAGCAGCCCTTTCCCACATGGGACAGTGTGAAGTTAGCACATAAGAAATATATATATAAAAAAAAAAGCCCCTCAAAGGGGGGCATTTTTTAACGACCATATTAGTGTATGCGTATCTTAAGGCAGCTCTTCCTGCTCATAAGCAGAGCAAGCTGTCAGACTCCAGATAATAGAATCAGAAGACCAGTAATATCATCCAGTCCAACTGTCAGCCTATCCTCACCGTGCCTGCTAAGCCATGTTCCTTAGTACCACATCAGCCCAGCTCTTGAACACTTCCAGGGACAGTGCCTCCACCCGGACAACTAGTGCCAATGTATCACCACTCTTTCTGAGTACAAATGTTTCCTAATATCCAACTTCAACCTCCCCATGTGCAACTTAAGGCCGTGACCTCTTGTCCTACCACTGTTACCTGGGAGAAGAGGCCACTGGCCTTCTTGGCCACCTGGGCACACTCCTAGCTCATTTTCAGCCAGCTGCCAGCTAACAGCCCCAGATCCTTTTCCTCCATGTCTTTCCTGCCATTCTGCCCCAAGCCTGTACCAATACATGGGGTTTTTGTAACTGAAATGCAGGACCCAACCCTCGGTCTTGTTGCAGCTCATACAATTGCTCTCAGCTCATTGATCCAACCTGCCCAGATCCCCCTGCAGGACCTTCCTACCCTCAGGCAGATTGGCACTTCCTCGCAACTTGGTGTCACCTGCAAACTTAGCAAGGGTGCACTCAATCCCCTCATCCAGATCAGTAAATATATTAAGTAGGGCTGCCCCAGTACTGACCTGATGAACACCAGTCAGGAGACAACTCCTGAACATCACAAGGCTCTTTTGGAGACAAAAACAGAAGCAAGGGGTGTGTGTACTGCCGGGGAAAATAACCTGTGTCGGGAATCACACCCTATAGGACAAGGTAACCAATACCCCAAATCTTTTGGTGTAACCCATCACATACCTGTGCTTGCTGGATCTGAGACAGCCAAATTCCTGTAGAGCTTGCAATGCTGAGTGGTGCAACAGGAACGCTGACTGAGGAACTCCACAAACAAAATAACAGAGCTGTCCTTGGCCAAACTGTAGAGCAAACACATAAAAATGAAAATCTGACACCATCCATCCCAAGTGGACTTGGGTACCCAAGGAGCTGTTGGGGATGGAATACTCACACTATTCACATGCGTGCTCAGCTTCCAAGTATATAACAGTGGCTTGCACACTGAGCCTGCAAGCTGATGATGGGAACGGCAGCCCCTGCTGCTCCTTTTCCATTGCACTCTGCAGTGACTGAATTCATTGAGCTATGTGAGGAGCAAACAAGGAGACAAAGATGAGCTGCTTCTTGTCAGCACATCTCCCTGCACTGTGCACCAGGTGTTCAGTGAGCACCCAGAAAGAAGGGGAGGGGTGGAAGTAAACTGCAAGAGGATGTTTTCCCTTCAGGCCAGCAGTGGATCACATTAGTTATTGTCAGATCGAACCTTTGTGCCCTAAGTGAGGCTCTGGCATTTCTCTCTGTTTAAATGAAAACTGCAAGTGTGGGGAACCTTTCCATCTACTTTACCAAACAACACAAAATAAAGGCACTGGAAGGGCCACAGCCATGTTCTATTACATGATGAGCGGAGCAGCCCCGTAGCTAACTGGAGCAAAAGTAGTGTCTGGTGTTTTGTAACACTCCTTGTACATTTTCTAGATACTTCAAAACAGCCACTCACCTTGTTACCCAGCCATCACGTTTTGTTTTCAGCAATTAACTTCTTTTAAAAAGATGACTTGAAACCACGTGCCAGAAGTTTGCATTTTTGTGAAATATATCAACTCTTATAGTTCAATTTATTCAGTTACAAATTTCACCGAGAATAAAAGATTTATGCATTTCTCTTAATTAACAGAACAAGTTTAGCTAAATATAAACTCTGCACTAAAGTTTTGCAGTGGCACAATACCAACACAGAATACAGAAGCATCTTTAAACTATACAAAATTTTAAAATTGAAAATAATCCTGTTTACATATTCTTTATACATTAACATATAAAAGACCTCATTTAATGAGGCATCTAAAGGAATCCAAAACAACTCTACAGCTATCTCTGAAAATCCATATCTGGAAATGATTCATTACACAGAAGCTTTACAAGACTATTTAAACAAACCAATACACACTTTTTACAAGGTTAACATTTCAAAAATGTACTCATAGGCAGGTTGTCACTTTTAATTTTTGCAGTTTACCTCACTGGTTATATTTTATTATAAAAACCTTTGTATTTATATATGTAGGGTATGTCAGATAACCAGGAATTTAATTTAAAAGTTGTGCAAAACAAACCAAAAGTTGGAAAAACAGTATGTTTTATCACTCATTTATATAAAATACCAACTAAAACACTTCTTTTTGCCCCACATAGAGGGAAAAAGCCGTAACGACTCTGTTTCTGGAAAGGTATCACTTCCATTTTTATATTCCTTCATTAGACTTCTTATATAAGTTATGATAAATTAAATGTTCCAACGAAACACTGGCTGATCTACAGACCTGCCCAACATCTTCTGCAACTTTAGTTCTCTGTCCACATCCCGCCGCTGCTTCTTTAGACCTGGAACCCTCAGCCCATGTTATTACCATGCTAGCTGGTGGCATCTCAGGTACCTACAGAAGTGCAGCTTGAAGGAACAAAGACTGCCACATAGTTACTGATGTGAGCCATTTCCTCTTCATCACTTCATCTAACGTACCAGGAGAGCCAACAACAAGAGGTGGGCAGAATGAATCTGAACTTTTAGAAACTAAGTTCAAACTATATGAAAGTATGTTTTCAGGTGTATTATAATAAATGCAATTACTAAGAGATTACCAGTTAGCAAAACTACCGCATGTGAATAACAAATGGAGAAATTTAATGTAATGCTTGCCAGTAATGCTGGTTTCCTTAAGAAGCAAATATAATATATTTTAAAGGGTCCGAGAGGTTTTCTTTTCCCTTATCTTCTGGCAGTTAGGGCATTTGTTGAAGCATATATAAATGAAGAGGATTTTCCAGAACTACTTGCTATACACTTGAAAGTTTTCAGTCTCTGTTGGTGTTATTAGCTGCAAAGGCATGTAAATTTCCCATCTGGCTCAGACCACTCTGAATATGTGCAACATGGATCTCAACATTATTCTGAAAACAACTACAAGGGAGAGAGGAAAGAAAGAAAAGGATTAAACCTCTTACTTAAGGGTTGCATATGAGTACTTCTACAAGATCAAATAAATCATAGTAGTGCATTCATATCAGTTATCAGTTTGCATCAGCAAATAGCATTTACAAAAGCAGTTGCATGAAGTCAAAATTACTGACTTGGGTTCTTTAAAGACCAACTGTAAAGAACCACTGTAAAGTGGTTGGAGCTAATGAAAGAAAAACATTGTGAAGAGATGCTAAAGTACCCAGACTGAGTACAGTGAAATGCAAAGATCATCACCTTCTTAGCAGTGTTTATCAGCCCTTGGTTGAATCCATTCCCACATTTACTTGCAACATTGATGACAGGAAGTTTCTTTTTTTTTTTTCTTTTTTTTTTTAAATCAAAATGGAAAAGTGCTACAAAAAAACCATTTCTCAATCCTTCAAAAAATCAATAAAATCAAAAAGCTGCCTTACTATCTTGGTGAAAAACAAACAAACAAACAAACAACAAACATGCACGTAGCAATACCAGTGTGGAGGGCATAAGAAAATGCTTAGCATTTCAGTATTTTTTTTTTTAATTATGTAATTTAGTGACTATGCAAATCTTTAAAAAAATCATGGTCACAAACTGTTAGAGTTCACAGTATACTCAGGAAGAATATCATCATGTTCTTGCTATTTTTATAATGCCTCCTCAGGCACCTGCTTGTGACAACTGTTGAAAAATGGACACTGGACTAGAGGAGCCTTTGATCTGGCACAATATGGCTGTTCTTTTGTGGTTGGTTTGTTTGTGGGGTTGTTTTGTTGGTTTTTTTTCCATTTAAAGTATTGTTAATAGAAGCCAAGCAAAAACTCTAATTGTCTCAGTTACTGATGTCTGATATTTACAGACAAAAGATTGAGTAACACTAAAAAAAAGAATACAGAAATTGTACAGAAAATACTCTAAAGTAACAGTTGTCAATGAATTTCTTGCTCCTCAGTCATTTTAGTTGTTGCTGTATCAATTTATCACTTTTTTTAATTTTTTTTTTTTAAATCAGCTTACTTCACTGGTAGGTTCAAACAGAAAACTGCTAATTCTGTACTACTTTAAGAAGATCCCTTTAAATGGGACCACTTCCATAAACAGTTACCAGATTAAAATCCTTACTTATACTTACTTACATTCACCTCTAAAAGACATTAACAATTGCTTGCTGACACAAAACGTGTAATTAGGAATTAAATACTCAAAGTAGTAGTACCTGATATTTGAGGAGTCTATTGAATTCTTAATGTCATTTAATGAATCTGTTAGTGATTTAAATTCAAAGGAATTCAGGTCACCTCCTTCTGCTAGACACTGCAGGAGAAGAAAACAAAAAATGTTCTAACAGTTCAGCACAAAGAACCTGTCAGAGGCTTAATATTATCTACTTAATTGGGAGATACTATTTTTGCAATTATTTTACCTTAATCTGCAGTAATATTGCTGTAAGTCTAGAGATAAGGTCAGTTAAATTTTCACTTTCGACACAAAGCTGTCCTGTTGTGGAGGAATTTGCTTGCCTAACAATTTCCTGAGCCTCCTCTTCACACCTCCGCCTCAGATCTGTTGGCTGGTCTGCGGGCTGGAGGCCTTGGTCTGGAGCAAGCTGCACAGACAGAAAGAAAGATCAATGAAGATTAAATAACTCCTTTGCATT